CAGCAGAGCACGGGCCCAGAAGCCGGAGACCAAGGTCAGACAGACGTAGGGGCCTGGGGCTCCCCACCTTGAAGCTAAAGGGAGTGAGTTGTATCTGACAGGTGCAGAATACGATCCCGGAAAGGCACGAGGCACCCCTCTATGGGCCTGAGATGGGAGGGGACAGGTGCTCTGATTCACTAGAGCATGGTGGGACACCATATACAGTGCGACATGGCACCTGTGCACAGTGGGGTAAGATACTCCCAGGGATCTAGGCACCATCAATGGAGAGAGACCCTCAGGGGGGACTTTAAAACTGCCTGAGCAGGTTAGGCACCAAGGTCCTGTTGAAAACCAGGGGGGCCAGGTGCCTTCAAAACTCCTACCAGGCCTCTCTTTAGGCTCCTAAATCCCTTTGACAATTCTGGCTCTACGTGTCTGGAGAGCTGGGGGCAATTGAAACCCGCCTGGTGCAAGGCCGTGGAGAGCCAGGCCCTGGCGTGTTTTCTGCTGCCCTCTCCCCAGCAGGACACTGGGCCAGAATATCCCTAGAACGGGAGGCCTGGGAGGGACCGCTAGTCCAGCCCCCCCGCACTGAGATAAATCATCGCTAGCTCTTCTAGACGCGCTTTTCATCAGCAGATCTCCTAGGGCTTTACCAGGAGGTCATTGTCTTGATCCCATTGTACAGCTGGGGAAACTGAGGCACAGTGAGGGGAAGTGACTTGCCCAGGGTCACTGGCAGAGCCACACACAGAACCCGCAGTTCCCGAGTCCCAGGCCAGTGCTCTAACCACTAGGCCACACCACAGTCATAGCTGTCCCTATGCCAGTGGGTCTCAAACTTTTTTACTGGCAACCCCTTTCACACAGCAAGCCTCTGAGTGCGCCCCCCCCCAATAGACTAAACACTTTTTAATATATTTAACACCATTATAAATGCTGGAGGCAAAGCGGGGTTTGGGGTGGAGGCTGACAGCTCGCGACCCCCCATGTAATAACCTTGCGACCCCCGGAGGGGTCCCGCCCCCCAGTTTGAGAACCCCCTGCCCTATGCACATGGATCCCTGCTCAGCTCAGATAGTCCCGTGGAGGGTGGGAAAAGCAGCCCAGGATGGCCCAGTGGTTAGGGCACTAGCCTAGGACTCGAGAGATGAGAGGTCAGTTCCCTGCTCGGTCACAGACTCCCGGTGTGACCCTGGGCAAGTCACTTGTCTCTCCGTGCCTCGGTTCCCCATCTGTGCAATGGGGAGAGCAGCCCTGCCTTGCAGGGGGGCTGTGAGGTGCCCAGAAGCCACAGCGAGGGGGGTGATGTAAATGTCCCAGACAGAGGTCAAAGCCTACCTGGGGGTTTGCTTAGGGACCCCTGCAGGTCCCCCATCCTGAAGGAAGTAAAGCGCTGGGAGGAGACCCTGGATCCTGGCTCACAGAGCCCAGGGGCTTTGCCCACTCTGAGGCTGTGACAGCGAGAGCATGCTGCAGGCAGCCAGTGCTCCTCTCCGCCTGGCTGCCATGAACCCCTCTCCTCCTGCACAGCCGCAGCAGGGAGGCTGGCAGTGCCAGGCTCCAAGCCCTAGCTCTCTCAAGTCACTCACTCTCCAAGGGGGCATGGTGTCCCTCGGGTAGTGGGGGGTGTACCGCATCCTCCAAGGACTAATGGGGAGTTGCCCCGGGTAATAACATTATACCACATCTGCGGGCTCCGTCTTCCATGACAAATCAACCCCTGCCACAGGCATCCTGCAGGCCCCCGGGCTGCTCCCTGACGCCCACAGTGGGATGCTGCTGGACATCTCCAGTCTCTTCTTGGCCCTGTCCCGTTTGGGGCTGGGAGCTTCTTCAGCGGGCGTATCCAGAGCTCCCATCCCTTTCCTTCCTCCCTTTCTCCAGCAGCCGTCTCTGCCACCGCTTCAGCATCCATCTGCCCTTCTGGGGATGGGATGGTCCCAGAGCAGCGGTCCAAGGCTGGCAGGTTACCCAGCCAACCAGTAGCTGGCCAAAGAATGGGTCTGGAACCCAAACGAACCCACACGAGGGGGACCCTGGGGTAAATGGGAGGGAGGGAGTCTAGTGAGATACGATTTTTGGGGTCTACGTCTAACTCTGCCCCTGACTCGCAGCGTGATCAGGGCAAATCGCTTCTGTGCCTCAGTTTCTCCACCTGAGAGATGGGGCTAACAAACCCCTCCCAGGGGTGTGGCAAGGGGCTCGTCATTGTAAAGCGCTGTGAGCTCCTCTGGAAATGGCAGGCGTGAGCCTCACGACTGATCCTGGAGCAGCAAATCGGGAGCCACGGCAGGCAGGCCTTCAGCAAGTGCTCCCTCCTTTGCCAGCGGCATTCGCCGGCATCGAACGGCTGGGATCCGTCTGGCGTCAGCACCTCGCCACTCACGCAGGGCCAGATCAAACCCAGGGAGCATCTCACCATTACCTGCTTGCTCGGCTGACGGTGGAGAATGTCTGGGATCGCTTGCTGCTGGCACGTGATGCTAACCGAAGCACTGACAGAGGCAGAGAGAAGCCAGGGATTTATCCTGGGTTCAACAGGCCAGAGATCCAGCTAAGTCCCCATTTCAAACTATTCAGGATTCGCACACCATGCACGACACAACATAGGGGCCAGATGCTTGGCTGGTGTCACTCCAAGTTACTCTCCTGACCTCGGTGGAGTTGACATCAGCCGAGGATCTAGCTCTAAAAATATAAGAAATCCCAAAGCGATGGTCTGAGAGTGTATTCCAGGCACTCGAGAACAGAAAACCTCAGCCCATACTTCTGATCTGCGACACCGGTGTCAATCAGGAGCAGCATCATGGATGGCAGTGAAGTTACTTTGAATTTGCACCCTGTGGTGCGGCCTGTAATCACAGCGACTGTTCAGAATCCACCGACCCGACCGCAGCCAGCTGAGCTGTGACTCGCAGAGCAATGAGTCCGCGGGGGTTCAGCACATTTAAAAGGGCTTTTATTTATTCACACCAACAAATGTATACGAAAAGTGGAAAAACCGGAACGGGCACACTCCGTTAGTAACAAAGGAATGAAACAGAGAGGCCCGGGATTGCCTCAGTCGGAATTAAGCAAGCCCCTCCCTTTCCCTCCCCCGAAAAATAGTATTTCTCCAGTCTCCCAGCGGGGGAAATGACAAACCTCGAGGATCCCAGCAGGGTTCCAGACATCTTCGCCAGGATCCGAGAACGCAAACCGAGCTTCCTTGGGAAATACGCAAGAGCGAGTGGGGCTACAACGGGCGTCTTGGCTGCCAGGTGGAACCATCCAAGTGGGTCCAAGAAACGCACCGGTTCAGATCCACGTTGTTGTGCACCAATCCCCAGGAGTCAGGTCTGTGCTGGGCACACAGAGTCCCATGGACTTCCAGGGGGCTCTATGCAGCTGCAGGGGGCAAACCCGAATGGATCGGATTGCTGGAGCGGGGCCTAGATTTCTAATGCTGCAAATGGCTCATCCAGGGGCAGTTCCACAAACACCCTTTCGCTGAGCAGATCAGGAGCCTTGCCCGGGGATCTGTTCTGAGGGCCATGGCAGGGTGGTGGGTCATTCTGATGGGAACACGTGGCCACGGAGACCTGGTCTGAGACCTCCCGTAGATCCAATTGCAACAGGATGTGGGGCAAGATTTTCAGAGGCTCCTATGGGACTTACAAGGCCAAGACCCTTTTCAACAATGACTTAGGAACTTAGCGCCATTGGCTTTTCATGGGATTTCGGGCCAGATTTTAAGATGCAGAAGCATTTAGCGGGATTTTCTAAAGCACCTGCCCGGCTAATTGCCATTGAGATCTACATCTTTAAGTGCCTAAATACCCTAGGGCCCAGATCCTCAATGGTATTTAGGCTCCTAACTCCATTGAAACCAATGGGACTTAGGCACCTAAATACGTCTGAGGATCTGGTTCTACGTCACTTCTGAAAATGGGCCACAGGCACATATGAAAACGTGGCCCTTGATCACGATCACCGTGGGCTGGATGAGAGCTGGCCACAGCTAGTATCTGAGCTCCAGCGACCCTGCAGAATAGCCCGTTCCAGCTCCCGGAGCCAGTGACTCTCCACAGAGTCGAGCAATGCTAGATTGGCACCAGAGTTCTCTGCCTTCTGCTGCTTGGGTCTGTACGTCTCTGCTGTTTCTCCTAGAGAGACGCTGCGGGGCAGCGATGTTCCTTCGGGCTTTTCTTCCGGTCTGGGGTTTTTCTTGGGACAAAACCTTCCCCAGCCAGAGAGTTTGCAGAGATGCCCCTGAGCGGCCGGAGCTCTGCTTTGTGCACCGTGGGTAACGGGCCAGGCAGGAGGCTCTGGCACTTGTCCAAGTAGCATTCGCCAGTGCCCCTGGGGTGGGGTGGGGCCTGCTGGGCATGGCAGTGAGAATAGGGCTTCTATGCCCGTTACAGACGTGCTATATACAGCGATGTACAGGTCACGTGGGTCTTCGTCTCCCACAGACATCAGTGCCAGAGGCGCACCAGCCAGCCGGCCCGCCCCGTGCCCCGTGCCGCTGGCATCTGGAATTCCCCACGGTTTGGGCCGGCATCGGTCTGAAAGAGAAACAGCCGACGTCAGCTGACAGCCAGGGCTTTCCATCCGGCTGATCGGCCAAAGGACAACTCAGGGCAGATCCTGGGACCTGGTGCCTCTTAACCAAAGTGTTTTCCCCTGGCTCCTCACTCCGGTTACCTGAGCCAGCTTTAGCGACAGGCCGGGGGCACCACTGCCAGGGCCTGATTTAGAGCTGCTGGCCTTTGAACAGCTCCCGGGGGGGGCATTCCCGTTTGACGCCTGCGCCACTACCGGGAGAGCCGGACTCGTTCTGGTTGGGACGGGTGTCTGAGCTCAGGAGTTGCCCTCACCTCGCCTGAAGGCCCGGTCTGCCCTCACACAGACACCTTACTGCCCTGGGGCGTGGATGGGGCACGGTAGGGGAAACAGAGGCACGCGAGGGGATCTGCCCGCCCCCCCGGACTCACCCGGGCGTCTCTGGGCGGCCGTGGGCACAGAGCCGGTCATAGCAGCCCGCAGAGGGCGCCGGCGTCTTCCGAGTGGTCGCAGTTGTGCACGTTCCAGCGGATGTGGGAGCAGCGCAGCAGGGAGGGCTCGTCGCCTTTGCACTTGAGGTTGTCGAGGAAGATGTAGCCGGTGCCTGGGCCGTAGCGCGCCTCCCCCCAGGCGGCCCGGGCGCCCCCGCAGCCCAGCTGCCGGCACACCACCGCGACGTCCCGGAGGTCCCAGGCGTCGTCGCACACGGTCCCCCACTGGGACAGGTAGAACAGCTCCACGCGGCCCTCGCAGCGGTGGCTGCCGTTCACGAGGCGCAGGAATCCTGCGGGGGGCGGGACAGCGCAGGGTGAGGGGACCCGGGGCAGCCGGAGGCCCTGGCGTCTGAACAGCACCTGTCAACCGGCTGCCCTCCGCCTTCCTCCTGGGAAGCCCTCCGACCCCAGCAAGGCTGCTCCTTAACGGGGTTAATAGGAACGAATTGTTTCCTCGATTCCCCCTGGTAAGACGGGGAGTGAATCCACCCAGCCGAGCCACCGTTAGAGCAGTAGCAGCATTGGGCACTGCAAGCAGCTTCCAGCCTAGGACCTGCGAGCGCTTCGCCGTCCCCCACTGCGCCCCCGGGACGCAGGCAGCTGCTGCCCCAGTACAGACAGGTGCTCAGAGGAGCGAGCCGAGACAGGGGCCTGTGAATCCGGGCTCCCCCTCCTGTGGCTCACTTTGCCCTGGGAGCGAGGGGCCAGTGGTGGAAGCATCACTGGTGCCTCAGGATTAGCAGGTCAGTGGAGATGAGGGAGCACGGGGTCCAGAACAGGGGAGCAGGCCTCAGGACCCCAGAGCAGTACGATCCGGTGCATAGAGCATCTGACTGGAAGCAAGAAAGCCTGCGTTCAGTTCCTGGCTCAGCCTCGCTGCGTGACCCGTGCCACGTCACCCACCTTAACCTCCTCGGCTCATCTACCTCACTGGGACAGACAGCGGCTACAGCAGGGGTGGGCAAACTATGGGGCCGGGGGCTTGCTCCACACGACTCCCAGAAGCAGCAGCACGTCCCCCCTCCGGCTCCTGTGTGTAGGGACAGCCAGAGGGCTCCGCACACTGCCCGTGCCCCAAGTGCCGCCCCCGCAGTGCCCATTTTCCAGCAAACAGGGCCAATGGGAGCTGCGGGGGCTGTGCCTGCGGAGGGGGAAGCGCGCAGCTAGGGTGACCAGACAGCAAATGTGAAAAATCAGGACAGGGGGTGGGGGGTAATAGGAGCCTATATAAGAAAAAGGCCCAAAAATCGGGACTGTCCCTATAAAATCGGGACATCTGGTCACCCTACGCGCAGCAGAGCCGCCTGGCCGCGCCTCATGTAGGAGCCAGAGGGGGGACATGTCGCTGCTTCCAGGAGCTGCTTGAGGTAAGCGCCGCCCAGAGCCTGCACCCCTGACCCCCTCCCGCACCCCAACACCTGCCCCAGCCCGGAGCCCCCTCCCACCCTCTGAACCCCTCAGTCCCACCCTCCTGCACCCCAGAGCCTGCACCCCCATCCAGAGCCCTCACCCCCCCACCCGCACCCCAACCCCGTGCCCCAGCCCGGAGCCCCTTCCCACACCCTGAACTCCTCATTTCTGGCCCCACCTCAGAGCCTGCACCCCCAGCCAGAGCCCTCACCCCCTCCCGCACCCCAACCCCCAATTTCGTGAGCCATACAATTTCCATTCCCAGATCTGGCCCTTGGGCCAAAAAGTTTGCCCACCCCTGGGCTACGGTAAAGGTGCTTTGAGATCCACCGATGACAGACGCCGTGGGAGGGAGTCAACCATATGATGCCTGCTATCCCTGTGCTGTGGTATCACTTCTGATCGACATTTCAGCCAATGCCACGGGCGGTATCATAGAATCAAACTCACAGGACCGGAAGGGACCTCGAGAGGTCTTCTAGTCCAACCCCCTGCATTCAAGGCAGGACCAGGCATGATCTAAACCAGCCCTCAGCTGCCTTCGTCTCTGGCTTCTCTGCCAAACACTGGCCCCCGAGGGTTTCTCTGGGAGGAGCCCTATGGCTGCCTGAAGATGGTTTGGAGGGTGCTGCTGGCCCCATGGGGTACCTACCGTCCTTGGGACGAGTTGTGGCTGAGGTGGCAGTCGCAAAAGCATCTTCTCTGAAATGATCTCCGGACTCGTCCACACCTGCTCCAGCAAAGGATGGATGGAAAGAACAATGATCAGACATCTCTGGTCTCCAGCTCGGGGGCGGACGTCGTGGAGCGTGAGTGACTGGGCTGGAGCGAGGTAGACCCAGACAGATAGGCGGGGAGAGGAGACGCGCTGCAGATTGCGGAGGTGTGGTGCGTTTAGGAAACAGAGGAAGGGCAAACATCCCCTGGAAGCAGGCACTGGAATTCACAGGGGAGGCTGAAGGCCTGATCGGTCACGTTTAATGACAGCATCCCGTTCCCCAGTGGATGCCAGTCTGGAAATGGGGACCGGCTTGGGCCAAAACTAGCACCTCAGACCTGAACCCTCTGAAGTTCTGGGAGCTTGGATTCGAATCCCCCCATCTGAACCTGATCCTAAGGTTTCGGTTCTGGGGGAATCCAGAAGCAGGAGGGCGTGTCTGAAATTCCCCCGGAGTCTCATGGGATTCCACCAAGCTCGGCTGGAGTCTCACGGAAAGCCCAGCCCCTTCCAATTCCAGCCTGAACGAAACCCCGAGCCCCGGACTAAATACGATGTGCTCCAAACACCCCGTGTGGCCCATCTCCCGCTCGAGCGGCTGGAATCCAGGTTCCCAGTTCAGACGGCACCCTGGGAGGCTGCAGGGACTCAGATGGCACTCCCTGGGGCCCATTAATTCCGTCCCGAGGCATGCTGAGGCCGGCTGCTGGTGGCACGCCCTAGGGGTGGTCCCAGATCTGGCTAGCTTTGGAGGGAGCTTGGAACCCTGCGTACTGCTTGGGGCAGGGTAGGATGTGCTGTATGGAGCACCCACACGTATCTCACCTCTGCAGATGACGCCGGCGTCCTCATGGTGCCCACAGTTGTGCTGCCCCCAGCCCAGATGAAAGCAATTCGCCAGGTCAGCCTCCCGGCCGGCACAATCCACGTTGTCCAGAAGGATGGGCCCGGTGCCGTAACCAAAAGAGCCCAGGACGGTGGCCGCCACCGCCCCCCCGCAGCCCATCTGCCGGCAGACCACCTGGGCGTTGGTGAAACCCCAGTCGTCGTCACACACCGTGCCCCAGGTGCCTTGGTACAGAACCTCCACCCGGCCCTGGCAGCTGCTGTTCCCGTTCGCCAGCCGGATGCTGCCACCTGTTGGTCAGACCCAGAGAGCAAAGGTGACGTGGAAGGCGAGAGATTCTGGTTGAGGCAGGTGGTGGGGAGGGATACAGTCACGTGCCCGGTGCCGCCCGGTGCTCTGCAGCAGCTGCCCTCATCTTTGATAGGAGGTAGGGCCCAGGGAGACTACAGGTCCCAGCATGCCGTGCTCCCTTTTAGGCTCAAGCTAGAGCATGGCATTGCTGGGACTCGTAGTTTCTACCAGCTACGCCACTATATAAATGGCGCAACGTGCTCCATGTGGTTGAGCAGGGGCTGAGTCAATATCGCAGGGCTGCGACGGAGAACCGGGGGCCCTCGAGGCTTTCATTCGAGCCTTGGCAGGCGAGCCGTGTGGCTGCCTTGGCTTTGCGGGGAATCTCTGGGCCGTCCGGAGCCAACGCCCGCCTGCGGGGAGCGTGCGCACACTTACTTCTCTTGCCCATGGCCAGAAGGGCCGCTGTGATCACTTCAGTCTCCGGCGAGGGCTGATCTCCGGCGTCCGTCACTACAAGGACAAGCAGCGGCATTAGGAGGGTGGGAGTTCAGGGGAAAGGCTGGACTGATGGACTGATGAGAAGCAGGCCCATTTAGACCCTATGGGGGGCAGTTCTTTGTGCAAGGCATCACCCTATGCATTGAAGCGGGACCTTGGTGAATTTCACCCACAAGCGCCTCGTTCCCCGGCATCACGGTCACCCCGGGACGCCATAAGTGACTGTAGCAACAAAATCAGAGCCCAGTGCCCCCGGGGAGAGCTGTGCAGCGAGCATCCAACTAGCAGGCGTTTAGGGACCTGGAGACGTTGGCAGCCCCCGTGATCCTGCTGCTGGGCGCCAGGAAGGAACCCACCCAGTGCTGTGGATGGAGCGAAGCCCGGCATGACCTGTGCAGCACTCTGGACTGTGCTGAATTCTTGGCAGCCGTGTCTCTAGGCCACCCAGCGTCTCTACTGATGACTCCAAAGGAGAAGGCGAGGCGAAAACCCGGGACGGGGGAATCAGAGCCCTGCTTCCCCAGTACGGGTGGCTGGGCCAGGAAGGATAGCGAGCCGGTTCGGATCACAGCTGTGTCCTCCACAGGACAATGTTATGGGGTAGCTGCTATGATCAATGCACTAGCCTTGGAGCTGTAGGTCTCCGCACGCATCGTCCCTCCGGATGGGGAAACGGGCCACGTTGGCCTTACCTGTGGCAGTGGCAGTGAATGACTCTCCGTAGACCCGGGCAGCCAAGGTGGTGAATGGTGCCACCGTTGAAACCCGCAGCCCTGCGAAGACACACGTAGAGGCAGAGGCCACATGACCAGTGGCCGTAACTTTGTTTGCACTGAGTCATTTTGAGAGGATGGGCAGCCAGAAGGGAGCCCGTCCAGAGAACAGAGAGACACGTGTCAATCATTCTTCACTCCTCCAGCCGTGCGCTTAGCAGCTCCTACTTCAGACACTGGCTGGTGCCTTGGGAACATGTGTTCAGAGCTTAGTGCCCTGCTAAATGCACCTAGGTAACCCACGGGTTGGGATCAGTGTGTGTTATACGAAGGATTGGAAGGATTCGATTTTTATCGGTAAATGTCAGTAAACATCCATTTCCCCGTACATGCCCAAACTGCTGAAAAAATATTTCCGTCAATAGTAATTGAAGCGGACAGACTGGGAAAGTACAGGTTGGACCTCTCTAATCCGGCACTCCATGGGCCGGCAACATCTGTGGTCCGGCAGAGGCGCCGACTCCATGGGTTCTCCGGGGCTGGAGCACACACGGGGAAAAATTAGTGGGTTCGGAGCATCCACCAGCGCCAAGCTCCCCCCTCTGCCCCCTCCCCCCGTGCCTCTCAAACGCCGGCGGCCCCCTGCTTACCAACTACTCCTCCTCCCTCCCAGCGCTTCCGGAGCACCGCGAACAGCTGATTCACAGCATTCGAGCTCCAGGAGGGAGCGGGAGGACCTGGGGCTGGCGGTTGGGATCTTGGGCGAGGGGCTGGTGGCTGGGACCTGGGGCCAGCATTGGAGCCCCCAGGCGGGGGGCCACATTGGGTGCAAAGCCTGGGGGTGCTGCAGCACCCCCCGCACCCTTATTTCCCGTGCCTATGGAGACCCGCTGGCACTCTGCATTGACTTCTGTGGTTTGGCACTGGTCAGGTCCCGAGGGTGCCAGACTAGAGAGGTTCAACTTGTACAAAACATGCCAGTTGAGGACTTACTAGAGTTTGATTTAAGGCTATTTTCTTTGTATATTTTGACCTGTGATATTGACAATTTGTGTGCGAACGGTTACAAAGCTTTTAACCTTTGGAATCTCAACCTTTTCTGTCATTAAACAATTATCCGGCCCCCTCCTATTGACTGACCCCAGTAATTTCCCACAACTGTGAACATTCAAATTGATCAAAATGTAAAGAATGCTTAAAAGCCATCATTTTGGGCAAATTTCAATAAATAAAAATTTTACAATAAACATCCATATTATGAGTCAATAGTGTCAAAAAAAAAAGTTGAATTCTGCCAGGCCCCGTTATCCAGATCCCCGGAGGCTATGGGTGTGTTACAGCCGGCTAGTCTGGTGCGTTAGCTCAATCTAGAGAGACTCGTGTCTTCAGCTCTGGAGATCCCCCACTCAACCCGCCGAGTTCCCATCTCAGCCGCGTACCCAGTCGTCCTTCCCTACCAGTGAGAACGAGGTGGGCTGCGGAGAGCTGGGCCCGCGGCTGGAAAGGAAGCGGGTGAACCTGTCCTGCTGCCACCCTGGCGGAGCGTGGCCGGCATGTTGGGGTCCACCTTCCTCACCCCTTTCCCAGGGGAAGCCAGAGGCATTGAGCACAGCAAAGCGAGACGTGGGCTGGCTACCAAACCATGCTGCTTGGAGGCTCAGGGTAGCCACATGCTGCCGAGCACAGGGCCACCTGCCAGGTGCCCAGGAACTCCTTCTAGCTGGCACGGAATGGCACAAATTACAACCGACTCCCCCCGTTAGTACTGAGGTGCAGTGGATATGATGAGCCATCCCAGCACGCGGGCCTCCATGTAGCATCGGGCTGCCAACTTTCTAATCGCACAAAACCCAATACCCTTGCCCTGCCCCGCCCCTTCCCTGAGGCTCCGCCCCCACTCACTCCATTCCCCCCACCCCCTATCGCTCGCTCTGCCCCACCCTCACTCACTCGCTCATTTTCACCAGGCTGGGGCAGGGGGTTGGGGTGCGGGATCCAGGATGGGGCCAAGGGGTTGGGAGTGTGGGAGGGGGTTCCGGGCTGAGGCACGGAGTGAGGCCTCTGGGCTGGAGGTGCAGGCTCTCGGGTGGCCTCAGAAGTGAGGGGTTCAGGGTGCGGGAGGGGGCTCCAGGCTGGGGCAGGGGGTTGAGGTGTGTGTGGGGGGGGGTGAGGGCTCTGGCTGGGAGTGCGAGCTCTGGGGTAGGGCCAGGGATGAGGGGTTTGGGGTGTAGGAGGGGGCTGGGGCCAAGGGGATCGGTGTGTGAGAGGGGGCTCAGAGCTGGGGCAGGGGTTTGGGGTGCAGGCTTCGGGCAGCGCTTAGCTCAGGCAGCCAGGTGGCTCCATGCGCTGCCCCAGACTGCAGGTGCCACCCCCGCAGCTCCCATTGGCTGCGGTCCCTGGCCAATGGAAGCTGCGGATCCAGCGCTCGGGGTGGGGGCAGCACGCAGAGTCCCCGTGGCTGCCCTCTGCTTAGGAGCCGGAGGGACATATTGGCAGCTTCCCGGGAGCCGCGCAGCTAAGGAGCCTGCCTGCCCCACTGGCGCTGCGGCCAACCAGTCTTTTAGCGGCCTGGTCAGCGGTGCTGACCGGAGCCACCAGAGTCCCTTTTTGACTGGATGCTTCGGTTGAAAACTGGACACCTGGCAACTCTAATATTGTAGCACCTGACCGGGCTTGGCCGTGATGGTGGCTAGGCCCAGGTACAGCGCACCGCTCACACCACAGCGCTCCAGCCCATTCTGCCTAGACGTCTCACTCCACCCAGCAGGCCAGGACCAAGGCCCCCTCTCTCGCCTTGCCGCCGATCTCCCCTAGAGGTTCGGTTCTCCCAGCTGGGCCTCACCCACTCTGTGGACCCGCTGCCCCCATTCAGAACAGCGCCCACCCCCGTACAAGCCGTCCCACCGAGGCTCTCCGGGCCAGCGTTTCCATCTCCCCGGCTTGCAGGACAATGGCTAGTTAGGCAAGAAAGGAACAGCCTGAGAAAATTGCTCATTTTGCGCCCATCAGCCTCTTTGTTAGTTAATCACTGGGAAGGGAAAGTGACGGCACTTAGTGCTCCAGTCATTAGCTGCGATAATGGGGGAATTCAAGGGGATTATTAACATTATAAATGGTAATCAACAGAGATACAGAATTGAAAGAGGGGATGAGAAAGGGAGGCCGGGGATGGCTGAGTGCCCAGCAGCTGACAGCCAATCACTCCACTTCCTGACCAAGGCAGCTTGTTTTCCACCAGCGCCAGGAAATCGCAGGCAGCCAGAGTCATTTCCCTTGCAAGTTGCTGCTCAGACTAGTCCCAGCCTCTCTCCATTGTGTTTTATCCATCTCCTGGGTTTCAGCCTAGTAAGTAATGAGGAAGGATGGTCCAGTGGCTAGTCCCCTAGGCCTTGTGAGCCCTACTTTCAAGTCCCTGCTCCGCCACAGACTTCCTGTGTGACCTTGGGCAAGTCACTTAACCTCTCTGTGCCTTAGTTCCCCATCCGTGTAATGGGGATAACAGCCCTGCCCTGCCTCTCCAGGGTGCTGTGGGGTACATTAGAGATTATACGGCCATCAGATCCTGTGGCACTGGGAGCCATGTAAGTAACTTAGGGCACGTCTACACTACACAATTAAGTTGGCCAAACTTAGGTTGGCCCACAGTAATTACATCGCTTGCACGTCTACACTTTCCTCCTTGTGTCGGCCGTACGCGGCCTCACCGGGAGCGCTAGCACCAACTGAGCTGTCCGTATGGGGCATTGTGGGGCGGGTCTGAAAGCCAGCAACGGTCGACCTAAGCAAGGAGGCGTCCACACCAACACTGCGTCGACCATGTCTCTACGCCGCTCAGGGAAGTGGAGTTATTAAGTCGGGGTAGTGGGCGAATTACGGCAACGGGAGTGAAATGTTAGTGTAGACACTGACATAGATCTGCCTTGCGTGGACCTAACGCTGTAGTGTAGATCTGGGCTTAGATAAATGGGGGACACTTAGGGGAGGCCCACAAGGAGCTCTTTCAGGCATGCGCGTCCCATCAGTGCATTTAGAGCACGCTCAGTGTGTAGAGCCAACTGCATTTCATTCCCTTTGAGGACGGTCAAAACCAGGCCGGGCCTGGGTGATTTGGGTTCCCTGGGGTGGTCCGGGGTTCAAACCCACCCCCAGAGCTTTGTGGCTTGAGCCTTCGCTCTGGCCAACTGTCAAGAGATTTGCCCCCTTTTCCCTGCATCACATTCAGCTCTCTGTTTTCTGCAAGGCTGAGCAGGTTTGCAGCCACTCAGCTTTCCTCCTGGTCGGACCCGCTGCACCCTTCCTTGGTCACCAGAACCACCCACGGGAGCCCTAAGCAGCCTCACCCACCGACTGTCACTGCCTTCAGTGGCAGAGCTCTGGTTGATTTCAGGACTGAGCCGTTAGACTCAGCGCAGGGGCGTTATCAGCACCCTGGCTCCGGGTCATGTTATGGCAACATCTCAGTTCCTTTCCGGTGGCTGCTACACACCAGTACTCCTGGGGGAATTCTGCGCCAAAAATTAAAAATTCTACCCCCAAAAATTAAAAATTCTGTGCACAATATTTTACAGTTCTGCCAAACTCTGCATATTTTATTTGTCAAAATAATGCAGTATAATCACTCTGGTTTCAATTATTTCAGTAATTTATTTAAACTACAATACAATGGATGGAGAATGGAGTGGGGAGCATTGGAGGAAATCCCCAAACCACCTTGCGTAATAGTAATGTAGCTAAGTTTGACCGTTTATTTCTAGTTATTAGTCAATATATGCAGCCATATGCTCAGGATTACATCATAGGCAACTGAAGAGCAAGTAAGGGCTGGGGAATCAAAAGCACAATTTATATTGGCTACTGACCATCTCCAGAAAGGTCAGTAGCAAACAGTTCATGGAGCACATTTTGATAGGAATTTTTTTCAGTCCAAAAACTTAGACCAGTTCTAATCACTAAAGCACCATAAGCATTTATAAGGCCAGACTGTCCTTACACCACTCTGGCAATATGAAGGAGCCTTAAAACTTTTACACCTGTTTTATACTCCTGGAGGAATTCACAAAGACAATGGGAACAATTCACTAAGCAGGCAGGCGGCTGCATTCTGCTCTGCCCCATGCCTCCCTCCTCAGAAACACCCTGAAGCCTTGCCCCTCCACACCAAGCGTCCTGCAATAGCAAGCAAGAGGGACAGAGTGTCTCTCACTCGCACGACTGCCAAGCCCCCTTCTCCCCTCGGTGGTGATTTATGTCTCTACCAGCTGCGCCAGGCGCCCGAACCAACCTGCCTGCGCTGCTGGGGTGGGGCGCGTGACCGCTCTTGCGGCTTCCCTTCGCTTCCTGTCAGGAGTAATTTTTCTGGGGGGAAGCAAAGAAATCTGCAGGGGACATAAATTCTGCGCACGTGCAGTGTCGCAGAATTCCCCCAGGAGTAACACCAGACTCCAACTTCTCTGGCGTTATGATCCCGATTCCCTACCCCCCATTAGTCGCTTGTAGTTCTGTTCCATTCAGCCTAATAGTCCTTCCGCTGCCAGAACTACTCTCCCCGGGCTAGCACTTCACCCTTCCCATTCATCTCCATTTGCCACCTCTCTGCCCAGCTCCCAAGGCTATTCGACTTCCTGCAGTCCCGGGCTTGCCACAAAACTGCTCCTCCCCCTGGGTTGGCATCATTGGATTTAGATCTCACGTCTCTGTGTTTAGTGCTGATATTGGCACCTACGGACAGCCCCTTCCCCCAGGAGCCTCCAGTCTACAAGGGAGAAAGTGGCGCGAAGGAAACATTGGGTCTGAAGACATCAGCACGGATTCACTGCTGGTTTCTGGGGCTTGGAAACGTTTCTCTTAACAAGATTGGACAGACCAAGCGAGGCTGTGGGTCCAAGCGGAAAGAGAGCTGCAGAGAGACGACGAGTAATAACAGAGGGCACCCATGGCACAATGCAGAGCGTGTGCTGCATCCGTAGCGTTCACAACAGAGCTGTGCGTGGTGCGACTCGGAGCGCGCTGTCTGTGCTCTGACAGCGCACATGCTCCAGCAGAGGTATTGGGCAGGCTACTCCAGCAACCGCGCATCCTGGGGGCAGGGCTGAAGTCAGCTAGAGCTCCCTCAGGGCTGGTCTCGATGCCGGCCAAGGAGGCAGCCATCGCATCGGTCAAGGCTTATCCAGGGTTTGTACTGTCATGGCTCAGACGCTTGGTCTGAGCTGCCTCTGGCTGGGGGAGGGCGGTAATCCTCCAATCAGTATGGCCCCCTCCGCGCCCAATCCACACAGGCCGTGGCTTGCGCCTCAGTCCCATCCCCGGCAGGTCAGCCAAGATGGCGGCCATTCCCAGGAGGCTTTGCTCCCTTACCTGTGCAGATGACCCCCGCGTCCTCGTGGTGCCCGCAGTTGTGGATCCCCCAGCCCAGGCTGTAGCAGGCCGAGAGGCGGGGCTCGCTGCCCTCGCAGTTCACGTTGTCCAGCAGGATGCGCCCCGTGCCGTAGCCGAAGTAGGCGTTGCTCTTGTGTGCCACTGCGCGGCCGCAGCCCGCCTGCCTGCACACCACGCTGGCGTCGCTCATGCCCCAGTCGTCGTCGCACACCGTGCCCCAGGTCCCTTGGTAGAATATCTCCACCCTGCCCCGGCAGGGGTCGGCGCCGCTCACCAGCCGAACGCTGCCATCGCCTGCACAAGGGCAGATGGGGTTAGTGTCAGGGCTCTCCCCGGGGCGGGCAGAGCACCGAGCGGGATCCCACGGGAGCGACAGGAGCAGGCTGTGCCGAAGGAGGCTTAGAGGGGATGGGGAGCAGCAAGTGAGACACGACTTTGCACATGGCAGCAAAAGCAGCCCATGGAGTTGGGACGTCCCGTCCCCAAACTGGGAGACCCGCTCTGGACAGCCCCTGCTCTACGCAGCAGCCCCACGGCAATGCAGGGACCTCAATAACCCACTGGGGTCATCCTTGGCCTTGGTCTCACCTGCCTCTTCTGCTCTCAGTGGGGGAGCTGGCCCACACCTAGGGGTAAGGGATGGGGAGCGTCTACATGCCCTGCTTGGGCGCCCTGGCCTGGCTTCCGGTGGAAAGACGCCAGACGAGGGCTTCGAAGGGTGAGTAGGAGGCAGCGAGGGAATGTGAGGAGCGAGAAGCCGATCTCCGACATGCTTACTCTTCCCGTTCGGCAGGGTGGCTGGGGCGGTTCTGCTCCCTGGTCCTTTGCTTGCCCGGGTGGGGGAGAGCTCTGCAAAGAGAGCCAGAGGCAGGCTGGGCGTCAGGGTGGCTTTACTCATTTTCCTTTCCCACCCGCCCCGTAATAAATACACCCGCTGGATACGCCGCCCCAGAGCCCCAGGGAGAGCAGCGATGTTCACACACGCCAAGGCGCCGGCTAGAAAAACGGCAAATATCAGGAGATGCGTGATCACCCTGCGAGAGCCAGCAACGCTGAGCAAAGAACCCGAGTTCTAATCCTGCCTCTGACCCGGCCCGCTCTTGGGGGAGTCACCTCACCGCTCTCCGGGGGAAACTGAGGACAATGACACTCAATCCTGCTGCTGGGGATTGGTCCCTGTTTGCAAAGTGATGCGGACGGGCTAAGGGCTGTTCAGACCCGTGTGTAATGCTGAGTGCTAGAGGGAAGGGTCATTTTTTCCTTGCAGGCCAGGCTAGCTGGAGGGCTGGTCACTCGTTATTAGCGGAGCAGCCCCCACGTCTGTGTCTTTGAGCTCAGTCTGGGCGGGAGGGAGGAGCCCCGGACAGGGCAGCGTCACCCCCCTCGCTGCGTTCACCGGCCAGCAGGGTAACATTTTGCTCTGGGTCAAAAGCCGGCCCTGCCCCCTGGGAGCCCCCTCCCAGCGCACTGGGAATTCTTTCACTCTGCCTCCCTCTCATCAGCATCCCGGCTATGAACAGCGATGGACAAACCTCCAATAGCCTGAGCAGAGCACTTCAGCCTGGACACTCAGCAACCGGATCAACCCACCAAGCCTCCAGAGATCTCCTCCCCAACAGCCGGCCTGAGCTCGCCTCCTGACCAGCTCCTCCCACCCCCCTTCACAGCTGCATCCTGAGACGCATCACCCCTTCCCCTCCAGGTCAGCCCCTTTCCTCCAATCAAGGCTGGACGCCTTCCTCAATCAACCAGTCCCTGCCTCCTAGGGGATCACAAGTCCACGGTCTCTCTGCTAGGCCTGGGCCGGCGTCTGTCTGCAAATCTGGCCCAGCTCCGGGCATCTGCCCCCATCACCCTGACTAGGTCTGAGAGGGGAGCCCCTGGTCTCTGAGTGATTGGGAATAAAAAAAAGAAAAAACAGGCCCAGCAGAGAAAAAGGAGACCTTACTGGGTCTGCGATCCTTCCAATCAGAGCTGGCTTGGGCACGTCTACACGCGCTGTCCCGACTGCAGTGTGGACAGCGCTAGCTAGCTCACGCCACTACCACTAGCAGGGAAGCTGCTCCTGCACCGACGGACAAGGCTGCCGGAGACCCAGGGTGCGAACTCGAAGGGGTAGCTGACGCTGCTGCGGCTTCGCTGCTATCATTCTTGGAGCTAGCTAGATCCGGGTACGTCTACATGCTCCGCAGTTGCCTCCGATTGCAGGACAGACCTACCCTAAGGGAGGTCACAGAGCGGGGAATGTGGAGCCATGGGCCAGGACGGAGTGAGAGCAAAGGGCAGGGCAGACAGGGAAAGATGTGGAGGGAGGGTCAGTTTAATCAACCCAAGCCAGGCCCTGGTGCTGATCAGTTCTGGCCCCTAGGTCAGGTGGCGGGTAGCAGCTGGCCCATCCTCTGATCCCCAACAGCCCAGCCCTGCGGCACCATCTCCTCCGAGAGCCCGCCCTGGAGCCCTGGCGAGGAAGCCAGGGTGACCTCCGACCGGAAGTCCTAGGAGTCAGTCACAAGAGGGACGTGAGACAAGGGGGCTGCTGGGCCCTGCCTGGGGGGTCTGAAGAGGCATCAGTCATGTAACCCCCTCGCTGCCGCTGCCCCTGCCCCCGCCATAGGATGGAACCAAACCTTTTTACCGTTACACGTGACGGCCACATCCTCATAGTGGTAACAGTTGTGGATGCCCCAGCCACGGCTCCCGCACTCACTCAGGGCCACCTCCCTCCCTTGGCAGTCCACGTTGTCCAAGAAGATGGGCCCCCGCCCGTGACCGAAGGTCAGGGTGGCCGGCGTGGCGAGGGCATGGCCGCAGCCCAGCTGGTGGCACACCACGTTGGCGTCCACTAGGTCCCAGTCGTCGTCGCACACCGTCCCCCAGGAGCCATTGTAGAAGATCTCCACACGCCCCTGGCACCGGCTGCGCCCATTGACCAGCCGCACCTCTGCAAGGAGGAAGGTCACAGTGAGGCGAGTAACCAGGCAACAGGCTAGCCCTAATTAGGTAATGAATGCACCATGACTCCCACCAGGGGTCATCAGCAGAGTTTGAACCTATGACCTTCTGCACCAAATCCCAGATTGCTACCACTTAAACAAAGGGAGTAGCTCCATTAGTTGATACCAGTAGTAGGCTGTTGTCTTGCTGGCATTTGCTTTGATTCTGCTGAGTGGGTTTCTATTTGTTTGTGGGAAGCAAAGGGTCAGGACTACATCTCTGCACTGGACACATTCACTCGGCCATCTTGAAAGCTCTTGTTGGGTTAGGGAATCGTCCAATGAGAGAAGAGAAATGGTATCATGTGACTTGGGTGACCTGTCACCTGGTACAGGTAGCAAATTGCTAATACTCACAGCAAACCAATCCATGGATAATTCCTGGGCTGAAATCAGCCACACATAAATGATCTGTCAAATAATTAGAAATAGAACACGCGTCTGTATAAATGACACACCATTTGCCTTGCCGAATCAGTCGGTCATTCACTAGAACCGCGGACGCCCAGCTCTATGGCACTGCCCATCAGAGATGGCCCGGAACAAGCCCAGGAAGCTGCAAAAATTCCCCCATGGCTTCCAGTAATATTTCCGGTCAGGAAACGCTTATTTTGCCTCCGCAAAAAATTTCGTCAAATTTTTCATTTTAAACCCATTTGTTTTTTTCAAAGCAAAACTCAAAATCTCATCCCCATTTCCACTCTCCCCAATATATTCATTTTTGACAAAACCCCATTTTTTGGGTACAAAACTCTTCGTCCAGAAGCAGTTCTAAGAAGATCTCACCTGGGAACGACAAGGGAGCAGAATCAGAGGCGTTGCCTGAAATGGAGAAGGAAAAGGATCAAGCATCGTTGGTATGCCAGGAGAACACAGGCAAGAAAGGGTTACTGAATAAGGGATATCAGAACTGACTCATACCATCTTACCAAGCAGGATGGGTGCTAAGGGGGATGACACTACATTAAGCATCAGATATAACACACGGACAGAATTTGCCCCTCAGGATCTTCGTTACCGCTGCTGAGGTCTGTGGTTTGTCACAGATTAAAGGGGAAACATTTTTGGAGTTCTTGTTAGCTTACTGGCTATAGTTCACTCATCACACTCCAGTCCATGTGACTTCTCAGAGGCTTCTACCTAAGGGTAGTTTTGTTTTGTTGTCCCATGCAGCTATCTTTGCACTAGCAAGTTTGAGTGCATTAGCAGAACCGTCTTTGCTATGGTGGCATCTGGACCCTGGAGCTCGGTGGAACGAGGAAGCAGTTGGGAAACCGGGAAAGCAACTAGCAGTTGGTGAAATTGTTAGGGCAACGGTGTTATCCCAGCCACTGGAGCTTGCTAGATTATTCAGAGCAGGATGAAATTCACCCCTGTGCAAAGACCCAGCACAAAACCTGCGCATCACTCAAGTCCTAAAAATACAGGGTCAGAAGGACTGATGCAAAGGCATTGAGCCAGGCCCCTGCGTGTAGGGGTGAATTTCTCCACCCCAGCGAGGCCGGTCACAGACTGCTGCAATACAGAACTCCGTGATCTGTGCTTTGACGGCTCCTGCCTGCGACAATTCAAAGGAGTTAGTCTCCAAACATCTGAGCACTTCGAGTTTCCGCTTACCTGTCTCTTCCCTTTTCCACACAGATCTGAGGTCTGGGGGGTGGGGAGGGGAGAGCAGGAGAGACACAGCAGTTGGTTTAAAAAGAAAAACTCCCACAAAAAGACAGATCATGGTTATCTTCGCTATTTTAGCTATGGGGAAACTGAGGCACAGAGCGAGGGCTGTGAGTTGCCCAGTGTCATGCTGCGAGTCAGAGTCACAGAGATTGACTCCCAGCACCCGTTCTGTTCCCTCATGTTGGTGTAGGGAGATCCTCAGATGAAAGGTGCTAGAGAAGTGCCAAGGACTATCATTAGCAGGTTAAATGAAACAAAGCTGTTCTTCAGGCTAACACTTGAGTTACCAGCTTTCAGACAGAAAGACCCTTTTATATCTGGGTATAATGTTGTCGCTCTTTCCCCCCCCACCATGGTTGCACTATTAACAGCCTGTTTTAGAAAAATGAAGGGAGACAGCAATGTGGCCTAGTGGACCAAGGCCTGAGACACAGGAGACCTGTGTTCTATTCCCGCTTCTGGCCTGCTAGGTGACCTTGGCCAAATCACTGTGCCTCAGTTTCCCATTTCTACAATGGAGATAATGATCCTGAACTCCTTGGTAAAGAGCTTTAAGATCTACTGAGGTAAAGAGCTAAGAATTATTATTTACTCGGTACTATTTTTTAAAAATACAATGAAGCCAACAGGCTTTACAAGCTCTCCGTCTATCTATATGCACGGATCACTTCACCCTCTGCTGAGAGGCAGCTACCTGGGGGGTGGAAGGTGGCAGCCGGCAACCTCTAAACCACAACAGAACAGGAGAGAAGTTATCCCCTGGAAACCACTGAGGAGTTGGGAGGAATCCCTGGAATTTGGCCACGGCACTTGGGTTAACGTGCCGACTCGGGTGGAAAGTGCCAGCGGCTCCTTGGTGAGCGCAGTTGGTCGGCACCAGCTTCTCATCTCATCTGAAAGACAGACCCTCTATCACCACCACAGGGGTATTAGTCCAGCCCTGACGCGGAGGGGGACATGAAGTCAATGAGAAAGGATTTTGGTGGGGCCAAGTGTTCATCCAATAGGAGGGGCACTTCCTACCGATTCACCAGCATCGCTTCCCCACAGCATCTTGGCTTATCTCCTCTCTTGGTACTTCCCGAACCGGAGTATACCTAGCTCAGAGCAGCTGCCACTAGGTAACACTCCTGGTATGCCACAATCCGTCCCTCTGCCTGGCCAGTCAGGTCACACATATTGCAAACTCAGAGCCTGGGGCTACAGACTCCGATTTGCACTACGGTGCTACAAATTGCCCCACTCAGGCTGGAGCTGGGGTTCTGGGACCCCCCACCCCCGGGGTATCACATCCCGAGCTCTAGCCCGAATGGGAACAACTACACAGCTGTGTCTAGCACAGTGCGAGCCCAAGGCTGTAGACCCGGCTCCGAGACTGGCTGCTGCGGGTATATTTTTGCTGCAGAGTTTCAGCAGCTCCATGCAGGGGCCTAGCTAGTGCCTGGTGAAATTTGTCAGCTGTCTTTATTTCCGGAAAAGAAGAAAAAAAATGCAGATTCAGTGACTCAAACGTTTGGCAAAGTTGTCTTAGTTTGGCTGAGTTTCTCAGCTCAGGAAAAACAAAACTAAAAAAAGGCAAAATGAGCCAACATTTTTGAAAAAATACGTTGGGATTCAGAAGCACTTTTTCTTGCACGCTTTCCTTCAATAAAAAAAAAATGTAAAAAACCCCAAAAAGCTCAGCATTAAAACAATTAAATTTAATTTGACCCCAAACTATTGACACCCACCCACCCCCACTTTTCAGTTTGCTGAAAATTTCAAAAAGTTTATTGTCAAGCCCCTCGGAGATCATTTTTCTCCAGACGTGCCGGCGAATCACAAAATCAGTGATTCACCCAGCTCTTGCCCTAACACCTGCTAGCGGGCTGGGTTGCAGAGGAGCCCCGCCCTCTGCTAGCACAGAGGAGCTTTTGCTGGCTCGCCTTTACTAACAGAACAGGAGCAGCCGAAGGTTGGCTCCCGCCGGTTTGATCAAAGCTGGGAAGAACAGCTGTGCGCCCAGCGAGCGAGGAGGGGAGCATGTACTCTACTTCCTCCTGGCTCCGCCTCGGAGCAACCTACTGGGAAAGTGCCAATCAAGACTCGTCCTAATATCCCCATCTGAATGGGTGAGGCGTCGGAGCTAACCTAGCCGCCCAGCTGCGGTGACAGACGGTGGCAACGATCCCTTACGCAGTAGGTGCAGTTCTACACACAGCTCTAGAAGGGGGGTTGAGAAAGCGGAGAGTAACAATAGAGCAGATGCCCCAGGGGCGCTGAGGTTCTGGGTCACGGCTGGGCCAGCGTGGGCTTTACCACACACAGGCTTCCTGCCTGATAGGTAGGTAACGCTGCTCCTTGAAGGCCGCTCCTTCTGCCCTCTGGCCCTGGGGCATGCTGAACTTTCCTCCACCCCAAGGGGGCCTGATTCCCCATGGCCCTCCTACACCCGGTGCCATTGCTCACGCCAGCGTGAACGGTCACCATGCTGTGCTGGCGTCAACGACAACACAAGGTGCAGGACAAAGGGAATTGGGCCCATGATCAGCACCAGGCAATAGCATCATGCAGCAACCCCAGGGGACGCTGGTCCCCTTAAGAAGGAAGGCTCAAGGGCAGGAGTAATGGACCGGCCGCAGGTTACCAACGCATGGCCAGATTCTGCCGCGTCCAGGCGTTTACACCAGCAAAGTGGTGTCAAATGCTCCCCCGATCTAGCTGCGCGTTACACCCATGTTGCACTGGTGTGAATGACTGCACAAGGACTCGGGTTCTGCTGTCAAGGAACCAAACAGAATATCTGGCAGAGAGCCCAGAGACCTGGGAGGGGGCTGGTCACATTGGAGATCTGCTCCCCTGTCTGCCGAAGCTCCTCAGCAGAGACAGTCTGGCTGGGTCCCGGGAGAGGAGAAGATGCACGTTAAAAAAAAACCATTTGCATTAGGTGTAGCTGGAGACAGAGGGGAGAAGCGAGTGGGGAAACCATAGGCAAGAATCCCATGCCAGTAACTGATCCTCTCTGGGAAACTGGAACCAAAGTGCTGCCTGAGAAATACCCCTTCTCAGCTTGTGTTTATCCCCATATGCAGTGTCGTTGGATCCCACGGACCAGAGAGGAGCAGGTGCTGCAGAAGGGAGGGGCAGCTCATTGGTTTTCCTAATTAAACAAAAGTCTTTTCATAGAACCTTGCAACACCAGCGGGCAAACAAAGCATGGGAAGTGCTTTTGCTTGGAACGCCTGCCCCTTCTTCCAACTCAACATGCAGGCCTAGATCCTCAGCTGGTGCCAGTCGGGGCTGTTCTCTCGAAGGCGAGGAAGCAGTGACAAACACGAGCTCAGAAGCGGGCTCACCGCGTGCCACCCCGTGTTTGGCTTGTGCAGCGTCTCCAGTTCCTGCAAGTCTATTTTGAGTCGTGCAGTACCTGGCACTTCCCTTAAAGCCCCAACTCCTGGAGTCTTGTGAGTGAGAGAGAGTCTCAGCTTGCTTTTTTTTTTTAAAAGTAAGTTGCAGAGAAAAGCTTGAAAACATGTGACCCACCAATGGCTCAAAAGTCAGAGCGAAAGTAAAAAGAAACCAACGTTTAAAAAAAAAAAAAAAAAAAACCCCCCCTTGGTTTAAAGCCAAACGAGGGCACGGGACGGCCCCCCTGGGGCCGTGTTGCGTGTGCCACTTGAAATGGCGATCCGGGGGAAGGCTTTGATGGGGGGGAAAATCTGGGCAACTTTTCCCCGGAGGATTTCCACTTCAACATCTGCCCTGGCCGCAAGCTGTGGACTGCCGGGGCAAAGAGTCGCAGTAGCTCAGGGCAGCACCCGTGTGGCTCCTACACGACGGGAGAGCGCTCTGCTGTCGGCGTAGTTAACCCACCTCCCCGGAGGCGGCAGCGATGCCAGTGGGAGAAGCTGGCCCATCGACACAGCGCTGTCCATACGGTCGGTATAACGATGTCGCTCAGGGAGGTGGATTTTTCACAGCGACGCAGGTCTGTAGTGTAGGCCTGGCCTAAGTGTCTGAGCCCCAGGTCTAAGCCATCTTCGGCTGGGCTGCTCTAGCATAGGGTGACCCAACAGCAAGTGTCACAAATCGGGACGGAGGTGGGGGCAATAGGCCCCGTTATAAGACAAAGCCCCAAATATCGGGATTGTCTGTTTAAAATGGGGACATCTGGTCGCCCTAATCTAGCCAGGGATAGCTGCCCACACAGAGAGGTAGGAAACCTCCCTCAGACCTGAGCCAGCTGGACTTTGTCAAGGGCTCCCCAGAGGATCCCGCTCCAGGATGCCAGGGGTTTTGGTTTGAGCACTGGCCTGCTAAACCCAGGGTTGTGAGTTCAATCCTTGAGGGGGCCATTTAAGGATTTGGGACAAAAATCTGTCTGGGGATGGGTCCTGCTTTGAGCAGGGGGTTGGACTAGATGACCTCCTGAGGTCCCTTCCAACCCTGATATTCTATGATTAACCAGTTTCTCCTCGGCCACGTCTCCGTGCGCTTAGCCAGACAGAGACCCGATTCTCCGGGGCCTCACGCACGTGCCCAGAACGGGTGCGAAAGCCACCACTCAGAGTGGCGGCACAATGCCTCCACAAGAGGCCAGGCAGTGGGGCAGGCCAGAGGACAGGAACTCTCTACGACCCATTGGAAACCTCACCCCCAGGGAGCACAGAGAATCGGCGACGTCCCCGGGATATACAGTGCAACGGTGACACCCAGTGGCTCGGATAGTCAATGGCTGCGATGCCAGGCTTGGTCTTCCTTCCGCTTTGCACCTTGGGGAGCCTTTTACACCCCCGAAAAGCAGGCTGGGCCCAATTCTGAACCACGGCGTGGCCTCTCTGGCCGCGGGAAGGGGCTGGAATGCACGAGGCTCCTCCCAGGTGGGAACTCCCCCGGCCTAGGGCGTTCCCCAGGTGCCAGGAGGTGGCCCACACCGTCCCCTCCCAGACACCTGCACAGAGGAGAGGAGAGAGAGCGTGGCTGGAGCGGTCTCTGCTCTGGCTGTGGGAAGCGGGTGGAAGGCTGGCGTCTCCCCATTGGGCCGCATCTGCTCTCAGTGGCTCCACAGCTGGGGGGTTCCCCACCCCATGGAGTTACTCAAACCCCAGCCTGCTACTTGGGATGGACACTGGGGCCCCAGAACCAGCTCTGAGCAGGTATGCCAGGGCAGAAAGCTTCCCGCTGGCCTCCCTGCTACCCTGCCGTCCCCAGCACCAGCTCCTGAGTGCCTTTGAGTAGCAAACCAAAGAGAGGGACCCAAACTGGGACACGGGATCCGATCGCCCACGACCTCGGGGGCCGTTTGGCTCCAGACCCCGACTCCAGTGTCACGGCTCGGCCCTCTCTCTTTAAAGCGTTTGGCCTAGAACCCCCAACCTAAGCGCGCCCTGAACTCGGGGGACAGCTCTGATCCAGCAGAGTTCTTGGGCCCCTCAGCGCTTGCCAGAGACCACTGCACACGGCCTCTCCCTTGCAAGTGCCTTAAAGGCGAGTGGCGCTGCGTGCGTCTCACACAAGGTCTGAGCACTGAACTGTTTCACACAGGCGCAATCCATTTACGGTCACAGTGTCTATTCCCCGGCATTCTTGAATTGGTCCAAAAAACTTTATTTCCAGCAGAAAACCCACCATTGATCAGCTCAGATGAATGGACCACCTCCAGAGAGAGCCCAGACCTGAAAGTTAGACCCCCTCTCCCTCCCCACCTTTCAGGATAACAATTCCCAACAAATAAAACCTGCCTTAGAGTGAAAGACTCCAAAGACTTGAAGCGAAGGTTAAGGGGGTGACGATCCCAATCTATATGTACCTAGACGGGGAACAAATATTTGGTAACGGGTTCTTCAGTCTAGGGGACAATGGAAGTTGAACCTGGACAAACGCAGACTGGAAAGGAGGCTTGCACTTGTAACAGCGAGCGTAACTAAGCATTGGAACAATCTACTAACGGTTTCCGTCACTGGCAATTTTAAAATCCAGATTGGCTGTTTCCCTAAGTGATTTCGCGGCAGTTTTCTGGCCTGGGTTATGCAGGAGGTCAGCAGATGATCACAGAAGTTCCTTCTGGCCTGAGAATCTATGAAAACCTGTGTCTTAGTCACAGAACATGAACACGTGATCAGGGTATCTCTACTACGTCGGCCCTTTGCCTTCTTTTCTCTACCTTATCCCTACCACCACCTCAACCTTCGCTTTAAGTCTTTGGAGTCTTTCACTCTAAGGCAGGTTTTATTTCTCTACCGTATCCCTCCTCCTGCCTCTAACCCGCCCAATCCTGCTCTTTCCAGTCCGGCCCTTTTCCCATAAGCAGAGCACAACCACAGTTGTCAGTTCAGCGTAAGCGTCCTGGAACTCCTGCGCCAGATGCCGCAGCCATGAAGAGAATAATATAAAGGTGACTCTCATGGCATGAGACAAACTGGGCCACTGCCCTTTTGTGCCTCATATGGCTTCAGAAGGTTCTAAGTCAGCCACAAAAAATCCAGCTTTTATCCACCCTGGAGGAATCTATGGGCCGCAGGAGAGCTGGTGGCCAGACAGTATCATCGTAAGTATTATTACTCTGCGCCTAGAGGCCTAGATGAGATTGAAGCCCTATTGTGCTAGGCGCTGTACATACCCATAGTAAGAGACTCCCTGCCCCAGAGTTTACAATCTAACTAGACAAGGCAAACTAAAGGTCTAGAGAGATTCATTTATTGAGCTCAGGGACAGGGGCAGGGGGTTAGTTTTCCAGGGCTCTGCACCCACAAGTGGGGCCAGTTTCAAAAGAGCTCGGCTCCCCACTTGGGCCCCGAACTAAAGGCCAGGTTTTCAGAGGGGCTCAGCTCTGAGCAGCTTACAGTGGGAAATGTAGGGCCAGGTTGTCCAAAGACCTCAGCATCCAATACATGGAGCCCTTCTGAAAATCTCCTCCTAGGTGACTGGCTCCAGGTCACGCAGAGAGTCCGGAGCAGAGCTGGGAACAGAACCCAGATCACCTGAGTCCCAGGCTACCGACGGAATCCCAAGGCCCTTTTCCTTGTCATCACTGTGGCTATCCCACCAGGCCCAGCAAACGTCTCCCAAAAGGCAGTGAGGGCACAGATACCCCTGCCCCCAGTGCAGTGCACCATGCGGACGCAAGCATCGCCACATGTGAACAAAAGCAGCAAAGCGTGGGCGCTCTCCACCAAAAACATTCTTCCAGCACCACTAAGACGACAAATCTTAAACCAGTGCAACTTGTGCATGTAGGCAAACCCTAAGAGACAACGTTACGAGTCAAGGAGCTGGATCCAGGCCTTGCCACCGGCTGGAGCGAAGGCCACGGACAGACATCGGGAGCACATCAAGCTAGAAGTGGTTTACTTGAAGGAGTTGCCAGGTTCACACCACTTCCGCCCACGTGCACAGAAGGGACAGACGAGTTCTCCCACAATACACTGGGAAAGGATTCTAGGGCAGCTCAGCGTACTGCAGTTCTGAGAACCATGGGACGTACCACACATGAATGAGTGCCACACCAGTAATGATACAGCAACTCCAGTCTGATCTCTCAGCATCACTGATCCCACCCATGCTGGGCTGACTCAAGAGAACTGACTCCAAATTAGATCACTTGAGCAACCCCCACAGTGAGGGAAACTATTTTTAGTCAGATTGTGTAAAACTCTGTTTTGCATTTGTTTTTGCTGACACCTATTTAACTCCAAAGCCTAAAACACACTTGATAGAAAGGACATCTTTGGTAAAGTTTCATAACCCTGCCCCTTTCATTAAGGTGCAAGAACTTGCAACATGCATCTGAGATGCCCAGGATTACCTTCAGCAAAACCAGCAGACCCCAGACTTGACAATTTTGGTATTTCTATTTTTAAAAGAAAACAGGGGGGAAAATGGATATTTTGGAAAGCAAATCTTCCAAACAGAGCCAGCTGAAAAATTTTCAGTGGAACATTTTCCCTAAGAAAATGTCCTTTTGTCAAAAATCAAAATGTTTTGCAGAAAAGTACCAATTGACAGCATTTTGGCCAGAAATATTTCAAAACGACTCACAATCAGAATGGAGGTTTGTTTCGACATTCTCATTTTGTTTCATTTCAACTTTGCCGCTTCATTTAGATGTTTACATTAGAATACAGAATATTAATGTGAAGAATATATATTTGGCGTTATGTTTCAAAATGAATTATTTTGACATTCTCAAAACAAAATGATTCAAGAAGGTCGTTTTGATGCTTCCAAACTGACATTTTTGCAGTATTTCTGTTCCCACAATATTTCTAAATTTTGACTTTTTGTCCCAATTTGGGATGAAAGCAAATGTTAAAATGTTTTCATTTCCTGTGGGATGGAAATGCCATTTCCAACCAGCTCTACTTCCAGGCTTCCTTTATCCATCTTAGCAAAGCAAAAAAGGGAACAGACCCAGTGGAAATAAAAATCCACCAAATAACCAAGCGCCAGATTCCCATCTCAGTTACACCACGGCAGGCAACGAGGCCCTGTGCGATACGCCTACACAGACACTCATTTCCAGATGCTGCTTCTGCAATAGCGTAACTCGCAGGACAAATCGCCCTTTGTTATCCACTTAGCCAAGTCTCATTCACAAAAAGAAATGAATGGAACAACAGAGGGCAGTGCGCTCCGTTCTTGTCTGAATGGTTTAAGGTTACAAAGTTCCTGTCTCAAATTCTCCCTGGGGAAATCTCTGATTTATTCCAAATTCCATGCAATTTATTGGGGAGGGAGGAGGATTGCGGGAAAGTTAGTTGCCAGTTGTAGTATAAGCCCATCAGTGAGACGTGGATTGCCCGCAGTCAGCCAAGCTTTTCCCATTGAAGGGCTGAGAGGTGCCAGCCTGCAGTTCCTCACCCCAGACCAGAGCAAGCATGAATCAAAGCAGAGCACTCATTTTCAAAGGGTCTCTGCGTAGACCAACAAGGACGACACGCTCACTCGCTGGTGTTCAGTCTGCACAACCCTAGTCTTGCCAGTGTCACGGGCTTCCATTCCAGACCCCAACCCAGGTGCTGAAAAGCTTTAGACTTGAGCCAGTTCTGAGTGAGGCAGAGCCATCGAAGCTGGGAGTTTTCAAAGAGCCGAAGGGAGCGAAGTGCCCAAATGGAATGGAAATGCAATAACAGCTGGGTGCCTCAAAGATCTGCTCTGGGAATTATTTGGGGAAAGTTCTGTGTTACACAGGAGGTCAGACGAGACGGTCACCATGGTCCCGTGTGGCTGTGGAATCAATGACTAGAGCAGGTCGGTAACTAGAATTCCCAGTCGGTGGGAAATTCCAAAAAAAAGTTGTTCTGAACTGGAACAAAAAGCTGAAATTTCAAAAATTTCCTACAGAACAAAAATTCCAAAAAAAAGTCCAGAGCCATCAAAAAGCTTTGTTACCTGAATGTTGAAATGTTTTGTTTCCAGGGTCAACTCATTTTGGTTTGACTTTATATTTTGGCCTGCTAAACCCAGGGTTGTGAGTTCAATCCTTGAGGGGGCCACTTAGGGAACTGGGGCAAAATTGGTCCTGCTAGTGAAGGAAGGGGGCTGGACTTGATGACCTTTCAGGGTCCCTTCCAGCTCTATAAGATAGGTATATCTCCATTTATTACTATGGGGGGAGGGATAGCTCAGTGGTTTGAGCATTAGCCTGCTAAACCCAGGGTTGTGAGTTTAATTCTTCAGGGGGCCATTAGGGAACTGGGGTAAAAATCTGTCTGGCGATTGGTCCTGCTTTGAGCAGGGGGTTGGACTAGATGACCTCCTGAGGTCCCTTCCAACCCTGGTATTCTATAATATTAATATATAAACTAGACAATATTACATAGATTATATTTAATATCCTATAAAAGTCAAAACAAAATGTTACCGTATGGAATGGTCACTGAAATCAACGTGTTCCTACACAATGTTTCCATTTCAGTGAAATTGCATTTGTAGACAGACCACTATTCCAGCAAAACTTTGCAACCAGCTCTGGTGCTAAACTCCTAATCTGCTTTGACAATCCCAACGCTACCTGGGAAGTTAGAATGGTACAGTAGCACTAGTATAGCTCTCTGTGTGGACACTCCTGTTCCCAAAGAAGAATGGCTTTTCCCAGTTTAGCTTAAACCCCTTCCGAATTAGCATAAGCTAGACAAAATATATATAAATAAAAGGCACTCACATCAAAATAAGAACATCCATATAGGGAATACCACTGCTAAATCAATATAAATTCACACCGTAGCAGCTTGTACTGGTATAGTTTTCCTGTGTAGACAAGGCCTTCGTGTTTAGACTGTGCTCATCATTGTGGTACCTGAGCTGGGTTCAGGCAGCACATTTCAGATCTGAATTTTATTTCCTCCCTGCAGAGGCTGGGGCTGTAGGCCTCTCTCCCTAGCCCAAAAACTCTTATCAATCCCTTCCCTTCAGAGCATGGTTTATTCTTCAAACACAACAGTTCAATGTTAAGTCTATGTATAAACCTGGTCGTTCCCCCAACTCAGGTCTTCCGCTAAGGCCTTTCCACTTGTATCTGGGTTCATATCCCAGTCTCCTCCCTACAGCTCCTCTTTATAACTGAGCCACTGGGTGGCTTTTATAATCACTGGATCAAGCTCAGCTGGGAAGCAGCTGATCGGTCATAGGTGAGGCTGGGCCCAACTCTCCTTAAAGGGCCAGACACCACGTGACAGGAAGTGTTTGGATCTTAGTTCTGGCCCAGCTGTAACCAAAACCTCTCTTCATCAGTGGTAAAATGCACCCCCTTTGCAGAGGAGCCAGCAGAGATAAGGCCTAGGCACCACTTCAGTCCCACCTGAACCCTTACAAGGTGCCTACAGCTAGCGTAGCCAGGGGGTGAATTTTTATTTTACCCACTGTGAGTTTTTTATGAGTTTTTGGTGGGATTCAACCCCCCCAACTCCCTGGGGGAGACCTCCATGTGCCACAGTGAATGGAAACAGGCATATTTCACGCAGCTCTGTGAGGCTGGCAAGCAAATACTAAAAAGAGGAGGACTGAAGATGAAATACAGTGAGCCCCATGGTTCCTGCTGTATTCACTGCAATGCTGGGGGGCAGCAGGGACCCAATCTCAGCCCCGCTGGAGCTGGTGGTGAAACTCCAGCTGACTCGAGTGGCATGAGCTCAAACCCTTTCAGGCCATATCTACACGGGGCATTTTCAGGCATTTCTCCCGCCACCAGACTAACTCCAGTGCAGCTCGCCGGGTGCTAGCAACAATGTAAACCAGGGGACGGTGTTTTTCTCGCCCTGCCCGTCAGCTCCTCCACCACATGAGCGTCAGGAGAACCCCGTTATCTGCTGGATGGGGATGAGAGGTGTTTTATAAAGGGGGGGGGTAAGTCTCATTAGCCTCCCTTTGCAATTGGAGAGACTGAGGCCTGGTCACGCACTGAGTCAATGGCAAAGCCGTGAATAGAATCCAGGTGTCTTGGCTCCCTGTTCAGTGCTCTCCTTCTCTGTGGGTCAGCCAATACACGCACACGCACACACACACACACACTACAGGGTAGTGACTGGGGTTTACGGAGGAGCAATATCCCCTGGAACAAACGAGCATCCGGCTCCGCAGAGAATCACATCACTCAGAGATGGACGGAATCTAGGTAACTTTCCCTCGGGGGCTGAGCCAGGATTGTTCCCTGCCTCCCTAGCTGTGGGCCAAGCCCTCACCCTGGCTGGACCCCGTGCAAAGAAAGGGCTCACCGCTGGGGCCGAGGAAGAGGAGCAGTGCTGCTGGGAGCAGGAAGGCAGGGAAGACCCAGAGGTCCGGCCTCCACACTCTGAGCTCGGTAGCTGGGCGGGGACCAGTTCTCATCGCTGCTTTACACCCGTCAGCTGGATGATCGTCCGGTTGTCTCTCACGGAAGCAGATGAGAAGCCACACCTGGAAAGTTCAGACAGAGACAAGCATTAGGGATTATTCATTGTTATTATTTCTGCAGTGCCTGGGAGTCCCCATCGTGGTCCACGAGCTGTTGTGCTAGGCCAGGAAACGGACCAGTAAAATAGTGATAATCTTACATGTATACAGCACTTTGTATCCCGCAGGACACACAACCTACATACAGGAATCAGTTTGCCTAGCTCTGAAATGCAGTCACCTCTGGGGTGGAACCCAGCAGCTGTTGAACAGCAAAGAAGACCAGCTTAGGAGAGGAAGTGAGGAACAGTGTAGCCAGGCGACACTGCAGGAGGAATCTGAGCAGGCAGAACATAACAACCTCCAGCGAAGTTTCCCTCACTCCCTTGCTGCGGCCAAGATGGGCCAATGCAATGTTTTATGACCATATGTGGGCGGGACCGTACATCTCACCGGAAAGACAGCAGCTAGCCCCGTGCCGGGACACTGGTTCTGTGCTGACTTATCACGAACATTTCTCCTGCAGCACCCAGCATTTCTCTTGGGAATCTCCCATCCAAGTACTGAGCAGCCTGGACCCTGCTGTGCTCCTGGCACAGGACTAGCACACCCAAGGCAGAATGGAGACTGCATGAGATGTAGCCAAATGTCAGCTAGTGCGTCCTACAGCATGAACGGCCCAGATTGTCTCCCAGCGCTCTGTGCACGGAGGGATCTCCTCCCCCACGTAGATCTAGATGAATGTGGGCTCAGCTATCTGGACAGCGCATTCCCTGGATCTCTGCGTGATCCAGTGACCAGGCTGGGGAATGGGAAGGATCTGCCCCAGGGTGGCTGCAGAAAGTTCTGGGTGAACCACATCAGGGGGATCCACCTCGCCTTGACTCTCCTGGCCCCATGGAAATTAGTCAGAAAAGATAATCCAGCCCCAGGTTCCCCACCCCCTGTGTGGAGCATCCGTAGCCTGGAGCCAGCTATCCCGGCAACACGGCTCCAGAGGAGCACCTTGCCAGGGAGCAGGAGGGATGGAAGGGGCAGAGAGCCAGAGCTGGGGCAAAGGTACAGGGACCCTGTGCTAGTGGCCCAGGCTTCTCCAATTTCCAGGCCTTGGGGTGGGCCCTACAGCCTTTTCTATGGGGAGCAACAGGACAGTGTGTTTGTGGGGGTCCTTTCAGAGATCTCTTCACCCCAGCCCTCTCCCATGGGCTCTTCCACAGGGCAGGCTGACCTGGGCCAGCATCGGTCATTTCTTTGTGCACACTCCACTCAGTAAAATAACTGACCAGGGAATCCTCAGATAATTGCAGGTATCCAGGGTCCTGCCTCAGCACAGGGCCGGACTAGCTGACCTCTCGCAGTCCCTTCCAGCCCTGCATTTCTACGAGTCCCTGATGTTCCACCTCCTTGGCCCTTCTACCCTCTAGGCCCAGCTTGGCTCTCGCTCCCACCAGCATATGGGCCTGACCCAGACCTCATTGAAGTCAATGGGAGTCTTTCCATTGACTTCAGTGGACTATGGGTCAGGCCTTAAAGTAGTAAGTGACTGAAGTCAATAGAGTTGTGTTTGCATAAGAGAATCAAAGCCCACAGCATTCAGCCTCTGGGAGGCCACTCAGCAGCTGCTCGTAGAGGCAAATTCCCCAGGTCTGTGGGCTGTGTGCTAGGGAGGTCATTGACTTATGGGAATATAGGACTGGAAAGGACCTTCAGGTGTAATCCAGTCCACCCCCGCTCCTTCCCAATGCTGAGGACACCATCCATGACAGGTGTTTGTCCAACCTGGCCTTAGAAACCTCCTGTGACGGGATTCCACCATCTCCCTTGGAAGCCTTTGCCAGAGCTTAACTACCCTGAGAGTCTGAAAGTTCTTCCTAATATCTAACTTCAATCTCCCTTGGTACAGATTAAGCCCATTGCGTCTTGTCCTCCCTTCAGTGGACATGGAGAACAATTGATCACCGTCCTCTTCAGAACAGCAATTAAGATGTGTGAAGACTGTCATAAGCAAACCCCTCAGTCTTCTTTTCTCAAGACTAAAAATGCCCAATTCTGTCAACCTTTCCTCATAGGGCAGGCTTTTTAACCCTTCCCTCATTTTTATTGCTCTCCTCTGAATTCTCTTCAATTTGTCCACATCTGTCTTAAAGTGCGGCACCCAAAACTGGACCCAATTCTCTAGCTGAGGTCTCAACCAGCGCCAAACAGAGCGGGACAATTGTGTCTTACCTACAAAACTCCTCTTATTACCCCCCAGAATAGTTCCCTCTTTCACTACTGCTTCACATTCTTGGCTCATATTCAATTTGTGATTCGCTGTCACCCCCAGGCCCTTTTCAGCAGGATTACCGCCTAGCCAGTTAGTCCCCATTTTGTGTTTCATTTTTCCTTCCTCGGTGTAGTACTTTGCCCTTGTCTTTGCTGAATTTCACCCTGTTGATTTCACACCAATTCGCCAATTTGTCAAGACCATTTTTTAAATTATAAATAAATTAATGGAGATATCTTATCTCCTAGAACTGGAAGGGACCTTGAAAAGTCATCAAGTCCAGCCCCCTGCCTTCACTAGCAGGACCAAGTACTGATTTTGCCCCACATCCCTAAGTGGCCCCCTCAAGGATTGAACTCACAACCCTGGGTTTAGCAGGCCAATGCTCAAACCACTGAGCTATCCCTCCCCCCCCCAATACTGTCTTCCAAAGTGCTTGCAACCCCTCCCAGCTCAGGGTCATCCGCCAACGTTCTGAGGTCTGGAGAGGTGGCCAGGGCGGGGAGGTTGAGCTATCCCCTCCCACACCAATCTGTGGCCTCTACTGCAGTGTAGACACACCCACGGAGCGCAGGGGCTGTGGTTTCCAATGACAGGTTCCACACATCGTGGCCTTGCCCGGCTTAGCCAACCACGCCAGGTCCATTGCATCCACTCCAGGACCTTTCACAGCTGCGGAGGTCGGGTCAGATTTGCCGCTTAGTGAAGCTAGAACAGGGGAAATCTGCAGCTGCCCCCTCAGAAACGTGGACATGCAGTGCAACTGGAGAAAGGGGACTCTGACCGAGAACACCCTGTTTGCAAAGAACTCCCTCCTACCGCCAGGATCTTGACATGAAAAGGAACATAAAGATATAGATGCCCAAGGTGGACCAACGTCTAAGGAGCTTTCAGTAACCATGGCAAGAGCCGAGGCATGCTCATAGGTTTGAACCTCCTGAGTTTCCCTGTATTGCAGGACAGTGCCCGCTTTATACCCAGCGGGCAGAGTTTGGTGGGTATATAAGCCCTGTCACTACATTTTCTGAGGGCATCAATGGACTAATTCATTGGGTCCTGCATGAAAAGTCTTGGATTGGGTACCTGCTCCCCTTGAGAGCAGATATTAACACATCCCCCCATCTAGGCCCTATGACCTCCTCTCACACGGGCTCCCAGATGCCACGCACCCCATGCCATGTAACCCGCTGCCCCTCAGCACACGGCTACAATATGCAAATTTCCCCTGTCTGTGGCGGCCCCTGGAGATAACCCGGAGAGATGCGGACGCAGCCTGAACTCTGACACGGTTGGCTGGGAGACGTCTGAACTCCCCCCTGCAAGATCAATGGGCTTGTCTCCTTGTCAAACACAACGGCCACGTGACCAGCCAGAGACGACTGGGAAGCACGTGACCATCTTCACCCAAGCTGCCCCCAGAGAGAGATTTACAGCTCCCACTTTATTCTCCTAGCCCATAGATTGGGAAGGGACGCCCTGAGGCCTGGCCCCCTCCCCATGATGGGCCCCACTCTACACCATCCTTACAGTGTACTGATCTTATCTTGGTTTATGAGCCACAAGGCCCAGTTCAGCCCTGCTCAGAGCTCCGCTGACTTTCCGTCCATCTAAGGCACTTACGTTGCCCCATCACTGTAATACTTGAGCACCATCTTTAATGTATTTCTCCACACACCATCCCCGCATGGCAGGGCACTGTCATGATCCCCATTGTACTCATGAGGAGATGAGGCTCAGAGAGGCTAAGTGACTTACCCAAAGTCACACCGGGAGTCTGTGTCATAGCAAGGACTTGAACCTGGGTCTCCCAACTCCCAGACTAGTCCCTATCCACCAGTTTTATTGCATCGAAGCCATCAGCAAAGAGCATGGCTGCTGGGGCCACATACCGTTAGATGTCAAAGACCAGCCTGTTTTGGCAGTTAAAGACCACTTCCCCTGTGAAGAACGTGAGGTAACAAGGGGGAAAAGGGAGCCCATCTGGATACAGCATCAAACAACCTGATGCTTCATGCACAACTCATGCGCAAACCTTCCTTCCCACTTCCATGCTCCACTGTGCTTCCCGGCCTGGTGGGGCTGGAAGAGTGGTAGAGAAATACTGCAAGACAGGCTGGTTTAGTGAGGGCTTGTGGCCCAGCCAGAAGTGACAAGCCCCAAACATCTCACCAGGAAACCAGACTGGGTGAGATCACAAGCCCTATGGAGCCAAGAGGCGTTCAGAAAAGCTTCAAATGAGCAACCGAGCTTCCAGACCGACTTTGCTCCTCACTAGTTAAAGATCGATTCAAAACCCCCTCCCCAAACCTGAATTCCATGAGCTGCCTTGGAAAGAAGCCCCGATGTGGTACAACCAAAGCCTGGTGTACGTGTGTCATGGGCGACCTCAGAGCTAGGTGCTGCATTTGCACTGTGGAGCTAAAGACGCTGGCGACCTACAGACAATAGAGCGAGCGCTTTAGACCTCTCGGCACGACGGAGCAAGCGCCGTAATGTGGCTCTGTAGAAAATGGAGCGAGCGCTGTAACGTCCGGGATGTGCCCCCGTGGAGAATTCCCGACTTCCTGCGCTCTCCCTGCCCGGACGCTGCTCCCCGAGCTCGCAGCGGGGACCCGCCAGCAGACAAACGGCTCCGTTATGAAGGGATGAAAAATAATCTAGTCCGCACTGGTGTGGTTTTCAATACTCCATTCATCCCTAATGTGCCAAGGCTCCCTTCCGAATAATGGCACCTTTTGTCCTGCACGGCCCGCCCCACCCTCAAGCCTAGACTGGCTGAAAGAGGGCCGATGAGGCTCTCCTGGGCCAGTGGCACATACCTATTCCCTACCAAGGGAGGACGTGCAGCCAGGCTCAAAGGAAACCATCCCAGCCTCCCCCAACAAGCACAGCTCCCAGTGCCACCCGCCTTCCCTGCCTCCTTTAATGCAGGCAGACAGGGGAGGAGGAGCAGCCGTTCCTAATCGCCTTCGCTACAAATGAGCATCATCGGTGACTTTTGTGAAAGAGCCGGAGAGCGATGGACAGCCCCTGGCAGGGGCACCGGCACCGGCAGGCTTTAACCATTAAAACGCCACCCTCCGGTTCCCAGCCTGCAGCGGCAACGCCCAGCCTGCGCTGTGTTGCTTGTGTGTGCAAAGTGCCCAGCAGTTAATGGATCCCTGCTCCCAATCCCTCTCCACCGGCACCAGCCTCCCAGCCCCCGATTTAGGATTACACCCGCTCGTCTTGAAACCCCTTCATGAATCCCCAGTGATGGAAAATTAGCTTTAATCCATTATTGGTTACCACAACCCTGCAACAAGCACCCTGTCCGTCCAGGAGGCTTTTGGAGGCCAATGTGTTATAGAACCCTATTTAAAAAACTAGCATGCATTCTACAGCCAGAGTAGATATATTGTCACAACCTGTAGACTCACCGAAATATTGGAGTAACCTACACGCAAAGCAACATTGATATTACACAGGGCATAGAAAGTCCCTGCACTGTCGTTCCCCAAATTCATAACTATGGTCTCAAACAAACGGCGCTTTAAAATAGCTCATTTAAAAATCCTGCCTTCGGCTTGAATTGGAAACGCATCGGATGCAGAAATGAGCCTCTGCTCCATTGTTCTAGGCTTGGAGCCATCTCTCTTCGTAGCCATGCCTCTTCTCGAAACTATGTAAACACGCTTATGAAAAACGAAACTCTTTCAAGCTCTGGTTCCCTGCCCGAGCGCTATGTATGGGTAATGATCACACTGATAAAAAGGGAAAAAGGAGTGCCATAAAAATCACATACCTGCTTGGTTTTTTCTTTCCAGTGCCGTGAGGGTTCTATACAATCCCACAAATAAATCTCTTCTTTTGAAATAAAGAAAAGAGCCGGCTAGTTAATGAAAGGAACAAACAAACAAAAATACAGACGTCACTATTCCCCCCACTCTCCGGCACCAGGAAAACAGGAGGAAAAGCAGGAAACTTTGGGGAGAAATTTTTTTGCAAATGAAAATAAAATGGAGGAAGAGGGAAAAAATGTTTCACCCCACAACCGACGAGCTCCAATCTGTCATCTCGTTCACCTTTCGGGAATGGGTGTTGCTGCTGTTGGACGTGAGGTTGACTTAAAGCTCTGTGGTATGGAAACAGCCCTGCATTGCGAGTATCACATCCCGGGGTGGGTTTTCTCCAAAGGAAAAGAAGAAGAAAGAGAGAAAGAGGGGGAAAGGGACATGTTTAAAGAGACATAGTGGGGTGGGGAATGACTCGGGTTTCAGGCAGGCAGGCAGGCAAGAGATACACTCGTACGTTGGGTTCTAGCTCTGGGTTGCCGATGAAAAGCGGAGGCTGATTTAGCGTCTTGGAGGAGGGGAGACCACACACTGAAGGCATTTCTATTTGTGTGTTTTCTCCTCCTACAAAATGCGTCCACTGGTAGTCTGCGCTCACCGTTCTGCTTCACGCACGTTGGCCGGATCCCTCGGGATGGCCAGCGGCTGTGATGCACCAGCAGGGAAGGGGGCCCAGGGTCAGATGACCCCTTGGTTAGTGGGCACACCGTATGCAGGATTCCTGGCTGAGAACCTTGCACTACTCGGAGTCCAGCCCATTTACGCCGGGTAAAAGGGACAGAGCGGGCGTGAAGGAGCCCTAAAAGTCTCCGTTCCAGCTGGGGGAGGATTCCCCTGGTGCAGGGACTGTGGAAGACAGGTTGTCCTCCAAGGAGCCCCTTGTAAGCTCTGCCACAATGGTCGTGTCAGGGGTGAGGATGGGGGCTGCAGGGGCATGAGGAGGATATGGCCACACCACATGGCACAGAGGAGATTGCGGGCAGCACTGGGGCCCATACAGCAGCCTAGGGAGGCTGTTGCCTTCTGAGCTGTCTAAGGCCCGGTCTACACTAAAGAGTTAGGTTCATGCATATTTAAAATCCGCACCCCCCCTGAGCAATGCAGTTAAGCCGACCTACCCCCAGTGTAGACAGTGCTGGACCTCTTCCATCAGCCTGTCTACCGCCTCTCGGGTACCTACACAGACCCACTCTTGGCGCTGTAGGGAGTGGCTACACTTAACACTGCGTCGCTGTCACATTTCAAGGGCAGACAAGCCTGAAGTTACACGGACGACCTCTACAGCCTCCGGAATAGCCCAGTATCAAGAGGGCACAATGGTGACTTAACACCGATTGCTTCTCCCCTTCTGCCCATAGTTCTGCGCTGCACTTCGTCCCCCCCGGCTACCGAGCAGGAGGCAGTCGAATTCCGTAGGCGACTGGTTTTCATTTGGCGGCACCAAGTCAGGCATATTCACCGTGTACATTGAAGTGTTACATCCTTTCCTCAGCCACCCCCATTCCATTGCAAGCGACATTTCTGCTTTTTCTCCTTAAATGATAGTCGAGGGCCAACTTGCGGAATTAGGAGAATGGGCAGGCATCTAAACTGGTTTCATTCAAGCACAAAGGGGCCAGAAAAATGTGCAAGTGGAGTGTATAGGAACTGGGTCGTATCCCTTTAAATGGCGCGTGAGTCCGCTAGCGGCGCTCACTGTGTTCTGTTGAGGAAGCCGCCCCAGCAGCAGGGCTCTATGTAGCTAGGCCTTGTATATTCGTAGAAAGTTAGGAACCATGGTTATTTGGAACCCAGCTGTGCTACTGTGGTTTCCTCAGGTTCTGAATGGTGTCTAAAGAGCAAAGAGGAATCCTTAATTTCACCCTTACCCCATTGGCTGGCATCCTTGCTATGTCCCTCTCTTGTGGCCCTTCAGTATGCACCTTACAATAGCTTAGACTTCCCTGGACACAAGCACACCCACGTGTCACTTACATGTCACCCTCTGCGGCTGAAGTATTGTCTCCCCGCTGCATCTTCCAAACCAGTGAATAACAGGGAGTGGAATCACTTCCCCTTGACACGCAGCCTATCCAAGCTTCCCGGCTTTAAACCACTTTTGGAAACCAGTTTGGTTGAAAATTTTCTGTCCAAACTGGTTTTGGACAGAAAATTGGGATTTCCATTACATGATTGTGTGTGTGTGTGTCTGTGTGTATGAAAAGTATCTGCCTTCCATGGAAAAATTAGATTTTTAGTTTAAAAAAAAAAAAAAGCCTGAAAACCAAAATATTTCATTTTGGAAATGCTGACACTGTGCCCCAGGGGAGTTGTAGTTTAGAGTGCCTAATGCTGCCATTCTCTTCTATGGGGTGGGCTACCCAGCAAGACTACATCTCCCATGATGCACCCACCCAGCGACTCCCATGATGCATCACCCATGCTGTCCAAGAGAGAACCCCGTGGTGCATCATGGGTGATGTAGTCTAACCAGGGAGCCCAGGCTATAGAGGAAAATGGGAGTATGAGGCACCGTGGCAGAATTGCCAAATCGAAATATTTCAGTTTTCAGCTGAAATTTGCTAGTATTCAAATTAAAAAAAAAAATCCATAGGGTTGGGAGAACCCCCCGCATTTTCCAACCAGTGCTATTGAAAACCCATTTATTTCCCAGAGCGTTGCCGATGGATTCATTTTTCGGCCCCTTCTTTAACGGGGCCAATGTGCTTATTTTTCATTTTATATATAATCTTTGAATTCCTACAGCGCTTCCTGAGCACCTTGCTGGGGTGGGAGATGGGGCACGGGCCAGAGAAAATGCTTTACCAACAACACTGTTG